TATATATATATTCTCTTTAGCTAAGGATAGCTGCGCTAAATGAGCCCTACATTGGGGACTTACAAGGTATACGTGGAGCTGATTTCGCTTGCTATCGTCAAGGTAGAAGAGCCGGCTTGCTGGGCACCTTCAAAGCATTTCTATCATCAAGGTAATTTTTAAATACTGCAATAATATATTAAAAAACTTCTTTAATAATAAATTTTAATAAGATAAATAAAAATTTTAACAAAAGTAAAAATTCATATTTTATTAATTTGACAGAGTAAATAACATTATGTTTTACGCTCCCTTTCGAGACATAAAAACAACTTACAAGTGAACATTTTTTTTTTTCTCCTTTTCAAAATAATGAGCAACTGCAGCAGCGGCAACAAGAAGAAAAAAAAAAAATAACGGAAATTAAATATGAAAAACATATTCTCAACAGTGAAGTTTTTATGAAACACACGCTACCTTATGCATTCTTGCAAAGTTGTACTCTCGTTTATTTTTTATTCAGCACCGGAAAGTATGCTAAATTTATCAATAGTTAAAGAACATTAAGAAATTATCTTTGTACGGAGTTCTGTTTGATTGAAACGGAACGACAACTCGTTGTTACATTTTTGTCACGTCCTAGAAATGATTAAGTATTAATTCTTCTTCTATCTCTCCATTTTGTCGGAAAAGTCCAGAGAATTATTTTCTATTTCTTTTGCTTTCATTTTTTTTTTTTTTTTTTTGTAATAAAAGAAAAACTGCATGAAAGATATACAGGAAAATTCGACCAATGTCGTGTATAGTGCAAAATGAATTTCCACTATTTCTTCCTTTTATTTATTTTTTTTAAACACCATTAAAACTTTAATGTATATACACAGGTGTAAAAATAAACATAATTAAATGAAATACTTACTAGAAAAGAGAAAATTTAGTCAAGCAAAACGCTTGTTTGTCAACGTTGCTGCAGTTGCTATTATAACTATTACTACCACTACTAATACTACTGCTACTACTACTACTACGACTACTACGACTACTACTACTACTACTACTACTGCTACTACTACTATTACTAACCTAAGTGCATAAGCATCAACAGCAAGAGCAACTGCCATCGTTATCATCGCCATCAACGTGTATGCATGCGCTGCACTACACCCCCTTTTCCCATTTACGAACATTTACAAACACCTAGAAACTGGCTGTTTATCCTAACAAGTGTTTACTCTGTGCGCAGCGTCACTAATTAAAAAAGATAAATTTTAAATTATATGTATATATATATATACATATATATATGTATACATTTATATACGTACGTTTACAGGATATTATATACAAAACAGCTAAAGAACATGTCATTTAAGTTCAACCATTGCTTACGAGTACAAGTGCAATGCGCGTTTTATTTTACACCATTCTACAGTGAACGTAGTATAAGCTAAAATATGATGAAAGAAGTTTTCTTATTAAAATAAAGTTGAAAAGAAATTCGGTAAATGGTCTGCTCAAGCATGTGTACTTTGTTACGCACGCAGGCTTGTACGCTTTTTACAGTGCAAGTTAAATGATACCAACGGAGACATAATGACTTTCAAAATTAAAGTTACACAATTTTAAGTTACATTTGGATTTTAATAAATGTTAATTTAGTTTCTAAATTTTAAAATTATGCTTATTCATACATTATATATATATATATAAATAGACTATGATTAGCTTAGAACATAGTTTAGAGCTTTCATAGTCATAGCGTGATTTTCTGTTCTTTGGAATACCTATTAAGAAGCTAAATAGCCGTAAATAAGGATAGCTAACCAAAAGACTAGTCCACTTAAGCAAATTCAAATCAGTATTTTCCAAGTCCAAATGAAATTTTTCACATCATTTGCCTTATGGATAGTTTTTATGCGCATTAGTTTAAAAACTATTAAGCATTTTTCTCGCGTATCATCCTAGGATTGTTAAGTACAGTCTTTTAGGCTATTATAGCGATTTTTTTTTTTCTTTCTTTTTTTTTTTAATTAATATATGTACAAAGTGCATTAGATAGAAATCTGTCTGATATTGAAGAACAACATATCGTATCATAAAGTTAGAGGAACTCTTAATGTAACTGCTACAATGCACAAAACCCTACACCCTACAGTTCAAAGCTAGAGAGAACCTAAAATCTTGATTTGCGATGCGGCAACAAACTGGCATGGAAAAGCGCTGACTACGCCAAGGATTTAAAACGATTACCATTAATCGTCGGAAATGGAGCGAACTAATTTGGGCAGAGTCGATGCATCTAAGACATCAAACCACATTTACATTTCCTTGTCTCCCTTCATGATTTTCTCAAGTTCTCAATTGCAAAGCAAAACAGCGACAAACTTGTAGCATAATATTTTGGCCAGAACGAGGGAGATAGAATTTTTAGAGATATAAGTGTATTCTCCGTTATAAACTTAATAAGCTTTTTCAAACAAATAATTGGATGCACATAACCTAAGATCTATAATGTAAAGACTAGATATAATTGATTACATAACCATGAAATTTTCTTCTCGAGTCAAGCTTGAATTCCAAGATTTGCGTTGTACACGCATAACCTTGAACTCTAACGGCTGCCATACGCATACTCGTACGCATGCATGGATGTTTTGAAAAGCGTTCATAATTTACATGGAGAACGGAAGTTACATATTTGCAATATTCTACAGTAAATGCAAAACACCTTCAAGTCCACTAAGTTACGTAACGATGCGACAGAAATCGTCGGATCTTAGATGCCATCTTAAGCGAACGCATTAATCTGAAATGCAAATTCCTTAATTTTGAAATAAAATAAAATATTGGTAGTGCGTATCGCTTGTCTGCATTTCCCTAATTCCAATTAGAACGCTGACCATTCAAGAATGCTAACAGTTAAGTTTTCAAATCATAAAGCATAGCGTTATGCTATCGTTTACCTATGTAAACAAAATGAAATTATTTTAAACTTAATGATCATTTTTAAAGTGACAAAATAAACAGTAACGAAGATGCAGATGACGAGAGAGGACCGATCTATACTGAACTTTTGCTAAGGTTTCATTTGAAAATAATTGCATCTAATACTAAAAATGGCAGTGGTTACCGCCAATCCCTGAAAATAAATGAGAATCAGTTAAATGATTGCTCGAAATACATGATGATAATGATGATGATAGGGAAGGAGGCTTATAGGAACGGAGACTCTTTTTTGCCTTCTCAGTTCATTCCCGTTTACTTACCTATCAAAATTTTTGATTGTCAATCGATTTTGGGGGAAGACCAGACATGCACCGTAGGTTGTACAACTCAAATATATTTTTGCCTTTTAGATGTTTTGCCTTTTAAGTCATCCATATCTACCTACGGTTATCGATGAATGGATCGATATCGCGTTAAACTTTACCTCCAGATTGCAATAAATTGATTAACATGTTCGTCAACCTTAATAAAATAATTTTCTTATATACGTTTTTTGAACATTCAAGAGTTCGTAGCCTTTAAAATCGTCAAATTGTTGTACATATTAACGCACGAAATGAACAAACGGAAAGAAAACGGCCATTTTAATCTAACTAGCCAAGTAACCCCAATAACCAAAGCTTTTTATGGTTGTTTTTCTCATTTGGTTTTTTTTTTTTTTTTTTGGGAGGGAAAGTCATAATCATTAAGAGCACCTGTTGGCTGGTGTGTTTATGTTGAACACCTTATTAAACGCAATAAAATTATTTATATATAAACTTTACACTCACTGCAGGGTGAAAGTACTTAATAAGAAAAATATTCAAAAGAACTTTGGATTTTTAAGCAAGTGTTCTGTAATCTCTTATACGCGCGACATCAGTTTCGTATGCGGTGTTCATTAATATTTTATTAGGCTCTCAATAATTTCCTTTTGCTTAACACTCTCATCTGCATGTTTAAGGATCATATCTAAAAATACATCTTTATAGCGGAAATTTTTCTGTACTTACGCGCAGAGATGCTCAAGTCAGATTCGCATCAATTCCTCGTCTAACGAAATGATTTCGGCGTAAAAGAAAAACAGATCTATAGATAGATGATAGCGAGCATTTAAAATGAAAGGGGTCGACCTATACTTTGTTCATGCTCTTACATTTTATAAATGTTTTTCTTAAATAAAAGTTATTAACACAGACAACACAAAGTGACAGCATAACAATCACCATATAGAGTGCGCATGAGAAAATGTTTCCGCTGGCTTTCTTCACTTTTCAGCAAACAAATTTAATTAAACAAATTTTTTTAACAAGTCTTGAGGGTTGTTTTTTTTTTTTTTCTTTGTTTTCTTTAGTTTGGTACGTACCTCCCTTCAAACTTTTTTAATTGCCTTAGTATAAATAGGGAAATATATTCTTGTTTTTCTCTCGTTTTACTTTTAAATATTCATCATTAACTTTATGAGATTTTGTGTTGCTAAAAGAAAGGGAGAAAACATTTTATTACTGCAGCTTTATATTAATTACATAACTAACAAAAAAAAAAAATAATAATAATAATAATAATAATAATAGCGTGATTTGCCAGCAGCGTCGGTTAAGCAAATCTGATAGAAAAATATAGCGACGCTACGATTGTCGATAATATGAATATATGTCAATCATATTTGTACACCATAACGAGTGTTCCGCCCGACACAACCGGGATCGGCTACATGGAAATTGTTTATTGTTTTTTTTTTTTTTTTTGTGAACATTGTCACATTCGCATCGCATAAGTTTTGATTTAAAAAGTGTTTGAGTTTCACGGCCATATTACGCCGTGGGATACACGTGGATAAAACTAATTAAATCGTTTACGAGTCGTACGCTAATTAAGAATATATATACGGCATCATTCGGTACTAGATGTAACCAGTCATATCGATAGTTTCGATTAATTTCAGAGAATCCTCACAATGTGAAACCTACCGCGAACACGTTGTTTTTTACCCTCCACCATGTCGGATCTTTAATAATTTTATTCCTTAGCTAATGCCTTGTATTAGAAAACAAAGAAATTCGTCGATAATCTATAATTGAAGTAATCACGGTAGCTCTTTGACAATCTATATAAAAATCGAAAGGACTAATCATCATTCTTTCAGGAGGGCTTTCTTCATTCAATAAATCAATTATCACACATTTTTAATATATAATTCTTCATCCCTTTTGCAAGCATCATAAAGATTAAACGAAATTTGTCAAACATTTTTAACAAAGTCGATTAAATAATGAATATTTGTTCGTCAAATGAAATCGATATTAATTTAGGGAGTGGAAAATTTTATTTCGAAAAAGAAATTTAACTTAAAATATTTTCTGGTCAATCTAGCGAAGTCAAGTTGCAAGAAATATCACTTTATCGGGCTTCTATATCTAATTACGTAAAACCCTTCGAAGGATCGGAGCATATTTATTTAGTCTACAACGGCCAGAGGTGACAGATATCAAAGATCAAAGATCATATCAAGTATAGATATATTTGATCAGCATATTAAAATCTGAATCGATTTCAGTCCGTTTGTCAGTCTACGTAATGTCTTTAGTAAAAATTTCGCGAATCGCCTTGGTCGGTTGAAAGGCTCGCCTACAATGCAGCATGAACTAAATACTCTGCTCTGCTTTCTGGGTCATTTGCTCATTGCCCATGAGCTACAATATATATAGCAGCCGCGTCTATCCAATATTATAGAATACTTCGTTTTTTCGTTTTCCTTAGGCTTTTCCAGAATCAATATTCAATCGTAACGGCAAGTATGGGAAAGACAGATTATGCAATGGTTATATAGCGATCAAAGAAGAAGAAAAAGGAATAGACTAAGTGAGACTTAGGTCGACTTAGGCACTCTTATCCGCATTACAGTTTTTGAATTATTTCAGTCAAATTTAGTGCGCTGGCGCGTCTTGACTCAAGCATCAACGTTATTGAAAGTGAACAGGATAAGGTTATAATTGCGATTACTCTTAAAAAAAAAAAAAAAGATTTCTGCTCTAAACAAAAAAATTTCGCATGAAAAATATCTCACACTATTATGATTTCTGGGACGAAGTCACCGAAAATTATTAGTTGCTGGCGAAAATGTTGGCCATTTTTTCACTTGCAAAAGGCATTTATTGAGAAAAACTTGTAGATTGTATATTAATCAAAATATTTTCCATAATTTTGTACAACTTCTTCCCACCCTTGCTGTTGAAAGAACGATATTGGTTTGGCGGCGATCCATTCATCGACCCATTTTCGCGCTTCTTCAACTTTGCGGAACCGCATGCCATCCAAACCATGCTGCATCCAATTTGAGCAATCAATGGCAATCAGAAGGCACCGTGTCTAGTGAGTATACTGAGTGTGGCGGAGCTTCCCATTCGAGCTGCAGCAATCTATCCGTGACAAATCTTGCAACGTGCGGCCGAGCGTTCCCATGCAAGAGAGTCATGCTCATGTATCTTTTAGCCGCTATTGCTGGCCCTTTTTCCAAGAATACATCGTTCAATTTGTTGAACTGACATTAGTAAATCTTTGCAGTGCCAGTGGGGCAACTTTGAATCGTAAGACTTACTGAACGAAAATCCAGCTCAAAATTTCCAAGAAAAGCAATTGATGATTCAACTGTTTCGAGATGCTTACATGCGATGGGTAAAAGGAGGGGAAATGGCCGCCATACGAATTGACTGAAAATGGCATTTCAAACCCTTTCAGCTTCGCGGTTGCATTGCTTACCAGGCTTCTGTACCATATTGTAACTGGTGATGAGAATTGGGCCTGCCACGGCAATATCCAAGCCCAAAAAGTCATGGACCATTCGTATCAAGACCCAAGCGGAACATTCATGACCATAAAGTTTTGCTGTGCAAACGAATGCAGTCAGCAAGGTGTAGTGTATTACGAGCTACTAAAATTGAATGGCACTGTCCTATAGATTCACTGCGCTCAGTTTGGATCGCATAAGTGTAATTTTTGCGATTTCTTCTCATATAAAAAACGATAAGGATGAGAAGTGAGCTTTTATAGGGCAATCAGATCAAATTTTTGGTATTTTAAAAAGAAAACTGAAGCCCTTCCATGAAAAATATTGCCTTCCCACGACAACAAAGTAAACCTTTTTGTATTTGATGAACAAAATAAGCGAAAGCTTACTTTAGACGAAGCGATGTACGAAATTGAATGATTACCTTTGCCTTGCCCGACTATAATGTTTTTATTTGTTTTTACATAAGTTGAGTAAACGATGAGTAAATGATTTTTTTTTTTTTGAATGTTCAATGTTAAATGTTTATTTAGCTAAGTAATCAGTTTGGGACTTTAGCGATCTTAAGTGAATGGTTTCAACATCTTTTCGGTTATCAAAAATGCAAAAATATAGATAAAGAGAATTCTTTCGTGAAAATTAAGCAAAACAAAACTAAATGAATAATAAAAGACGCTTTAGTACAATTATATTAATATGATCAAAGCCCAGAAACCAATTCAAGTCTGCTACTGACATTTGCTTTATAGTAACGAAACTCTTTAGCTATTCCATTGAAATATTTATGAAATGTTTTATTATTTATTATTAGTTTTTAGTTTATGAATGTTTTAGTTAGTTTAGTTATTAGTTTATCGTTGTTTGCAGGCTAATGAAATGCTTTAATAATTCATCTTTTTATGTAAAGTTTTTTTTTCCCCCTATCGCAACGTAATTTATGAATTGTACTACTACGACGGTCTTCCGCTTTATAGCCATTCATAATATCTACCCATAACTCGCTACGAAAAATCCACCGGATATCGTCAGTAACTATTTCCAGGCTTGTACATTTCTTAGATATACGAATTGTCGCAGATCTATTGAAATTTCGAAATTGCGTCGATATTTGAACAAAGTGTATTTATTAACATGCGCGAGTATTAAATGCTTCATGCTTATTTTTATATTTTAAAAAAATCAAAATCAAATCATTTCATAAAATCGCAAAAATTTGTTTTTATTTCATATGAAAGGAAAGATTGATTTAGGCCAAGGTTTTGTATAGCAGGTTATTGCATAAATTTGATTTCTCTCAATCAGTTGGACACGGTAAGGTGCGAAATACGATAGGGTATTTGTGTACAAAATGCGCTTATCAGATATAACCTCCACATTGACTAATAATGATGCGATATTTCTCGATATTTGTTTCTTAAAGACATATTTTTTGTGCTTATGCTCGAAAAATCCCAACAATTGACGATTTGAGTTTGCATAGCACTAATAACGCATTATATCCCAATGCAGATAGATATTGGTAACTTACTTGTAAAAGGGTTTATAATCTGAACATTTGCGAAAGGTAAGGTCAGTCAAGAGGCAAGAGATTTGAATTGTAATATTCGAACGGACGAAACCGTACAAGTTCCTGTGAATAATTTGTAAATAGATTGCCTAAGAATTGTACGTAAAACCTATGCTACCTTAAAAGTCGCAGTTCAATGGTACCAAATGAACTTAATCTCAGAGGCGATTGAAGAAAAACGTAAAAACATAAACGAAATTTTACGTTTACGCAACAACTATTCTGACCTTGTTTAATCTTGTTTACCTAGTATCCAAAGATCGAATGTCGTCCGTTACGTCGATAAATTTATCGTCCTCTCTATTTCTCTCTCTCTCTCGTTCTCTCTTTTTCTTCTTTCCGTACCTCTTACTTTCTTCCTCCTTTGCTTTTCAGCATTCTCTTGCCGCACCCCCCCCCCCCCCCCCACACACACACACACACACCTTTCGACCCGTTCGCAATTTCCGTACACAAAGCCACACTTTGCATTTCACTGCATTTAACTAAACAAAAGACAATAGCGTAATATGTCCCTGCGCGTCGCTATATGTGCGCAAGGCTATCATGTCCTGAAACATACTTTTCAAGAACATCTTGTATTATAGTTTGATTTCGAAAGATTTCAACTCGACGGACATAAATATATATATATATAGGCCGAAAACAAATTCAATACTGGATCGTTTTCTCCTATTTGTCAATTGCCACTGTCTATGCTTTTATTTCCTTATCGAAAAGTAATGAGAAATCATCTCACTTTGAGTCAATACGTTCGGCTGGTGGTTACTTTACTTTTGCCAGTGTGATGGGACGAATGCTCATGAGTATGCCCATTCCATCTCTTTTAAGGTCCACTATAGGATTCTCATTCTCTTCTCTATCATATTCATGACTGGGACTGGTTTTCTCGGCTGCATTCCTAACAATCATTTTGATTGTCTTCCAAATCGGCCTCATTATCATCAGTGTTATGGAGTTCATTCATAGGACAACTAATGTTTTCCTCCATCAAAAAAATTATATTTCGTTTAACCCCCCCATCTATAAGAAGAGGCTTTTAAGGCAAGTTAGAGACATAACGATGTAATTCATCAACACAAAGAATATCAACTTCAAACACGTTTGAATATATCTTCCGTTGGAGAATACCTGCATGAAACAATATGACAGTACCTCCTGTGGGTAGAATAAATATTTGCTTTTTTTTTTTTTGGCTTGTTGTGTAGAGACGGATGGAAGCCATAGGATAAATATTAAGAGAAGTTGGTTAATGTCGAAAAAACAAGAAAACAAAAATATGTTGATATGTATTAAACAACAAATGAGAGGGTTGCCATATTCTTGACTATTTTGTCCGAAACTGCTGTGATAGCGTTGGGCTAACTGATAAACACTATTGGTGGTAATTGCATAAAGAACTTTTTTTTTCCGGTATATGCAATCTTTTCAGTAGAATTTAATATGCTTCGTCTTGTTTTATTTATCAAATTCACCATAGAGCATCATGAACTCGATGCAAAGCAAAACGCAAAAGCTTTTAGTTCAGGGATTATAATCTGTTATCCGTAGACAAAATTAAGTAGAAGCCTAACTTGGCTTTTTAAAAAAACAAAAAAAAAATTTTTTAAGTAAATTTTCATCCCTAATCAACTAAAGCACCACCACTTCAGCAATGAACTAAAACCAACTTGAAATGTGCTTTGTATCTATCTATCTATCTTTTCTTCTTATCATATCCTGGTACATACAATGGTTTCGTGTTAAAAAAATTTTCCCTTTATATTTATTTTCTTTTTGTTTTCAGAGTACAAAATCTTGATTCCATTGTACGAGCTGCCGACCGTGAACTACCTGTTGTAAATACGCGTGGTGATGTTCTATTCAATTCCTGGAAAGGCATATTTAATGGTCAAGGTGGCTTCTTTTCACAAGCACCACGCATCTATAGCTTCAGTGGCAAAAACGTTTTAACCGATCCGCTTTGGTAAGTCACGTATAGTGAATTAATCCATAAATTTAATCAAAATTTTTATTTCACTTAAATCTCTACACTTTTGTTGGTCGAATCAATTGTTGTTGATTAACATTATTTCTGGTATACGATTATTTCTGTATTGTATTGTATTTGTGCGAATTTACGTATATAGCAGAGAGATTTTAGACGGACCTATTTTTCCTTGTACTGATTGATTCAGACTCATATTTGATGTCTTCTCTCTTTATCTCTATCCGTTTGCTGTGTGAGAAATTTATTGCTGAATGTTGTTGAATGTGTTGTGTTAATTATACGTTTAGGAGCGACCCATATAACTGCACGTTGGGTTTAATAGCATCAACAACAATTCGGAAAGTTGGGAATCCAGACCTACCTGGAGCCTAATAATTTTTTTTGTAGACCCTACACCACTTGCGATGCAAGTTATATTAAGTTTGTACGGAAGTATGGAGCACGCAATAGGGCTAAAGATAGACTCACCTCTAAGCCTGTCTGTCCGTCTGCCCATAAAAATGTGTGTTGAAACGATAGGTCACAATTTTTGAGATATTTTGATGACTAACGTACACTGACGTATTTTCACCCAACGACGAACGCTATTAGAAATGATTTGGATCGATCCGCTTCTTCGATCAATCTCCATATAAAATGGCTAAGCAATGACATTCCGCCATTCTTAATTAATATGAAAACTTTACTCTGACTGTAGCAATTTTTGAATCCCCTTCAATACAACGAAATCTGAACTTCATAAGACAAAAGGGTCTAATTTTCAATGATTCCTGATGAAAATCAGATGATAATAGTAATGCAATCATTCTTGTGGAAAGTAAGACTTTATTTGTAAAGAGGTCTAATTTTTAATAGACAGTGCCATAATAGTAAGTTCATATAAAAAGAGAGAGAGAGAAATAACAATTGTATTGTATTGACAATGCGGTGTAGGATATTTAATTGTCGGCCTAGCTTCACTATTATGTTTTCAGGTTTTTTTTTTGTTTTTTGTTTTGTTATGACTACTTGATCAAACGATGTCTAATTTAATTAGGAGATGTGCATACATGCATGTAGTGCTGCAGACGAAGATAAAATAAAGAAAGATGGACTTGGTATCGCTGCAGCCTGGCGTGTGCCTTCAAAGCAAACCAATCGTAGTATAGCGGATTGGGAGTTCAACTCGAGTGTGACGATTGCTTGTCTATTAAGCAGTAGCCCAATTATTATCAAAACATTAGGGGAAAACTACAAAAAAAAAGACTTGCAGCATAATTGACTTATTGACCTATGTGAAATCAATTGCTGAGAAACTGCGTTTGTGTGGTTATATGTATATATATATATATATTATATCCATATATTTGAAACAACGAGAACATGTAGACATGTCACTCTAAATTTAATCTTCTTTCTTTCATAAGATGAAGTAAATTAATGTATAATTCGTTGAGTGATTGAAATCTGAGAGTCAGAAGTATGTGATGCACAAAGAAAACATTTTAGTTTGCTAGCATTACCTTCATCGGGACGATGGACATTTCGTGATGACGATATTCTCATTGGCAGGTTCATCTTTGATGAAGTTGGCGCGAATTTTCTACTCTAATCAAATCAAATCAATAAAAATATAATTGCATAAAACATATATCCTATTAAATGTAATTATTTCGAATGAGTTTTGTACTCGAAATAACTTAAAACCATTATCTTTTATGAGTTTTTTTTTTTTTTTTTTTTTTTAATCCCTTTTAATAAATTGCATTAACTTATATTATAGCATTAACTTATATCATGCGAGATCATGAGCCTTTCAAAAAAAACAACAAATGCATGGGATTAAAAGAGTTGAGAATTGTGTTCTGCTCAATAGTAAACGATCTCTGATAGATGCTATAATTAGATAGGGTGTCGCTCCGTCTATCGATTAAATATAGAAAATTTTTGCGATATCATTAGTTAAAGTTTGACATAAGATGAGAGTAACTTTATAACTCAAATGAATATATATATTATATATTCATGGAGAAATTATTATATAATATTTAAAATTGTCATTACATTAGTTCTATGAAATATTTTGCTAAAATACTAGTATAGTTTGCCTTAATCTTTTGCATTTTCTTTTTTTTTTATTATTATTAATATTATTATTATTATTATTTGCTAACCCAATTGCTAACAATAACGATAAGAAAAATTGTTTCCCGACTTTCCTGACTTAAAAAGCCAGCATTAAAATAAACTGAAAATGCACCGGAAAACAAAGCACATTAAATGTAATACATTTACATTATAATAAAACATCAACGCCTGCCTGTCTTTTAACAACGATATTGTGCATACGCAGTGCATAAATATATATGCATATATGCATTAAGAAAGTAATGAAAACGACACTCATTCCATTCATTACGCATTTATTCACATCTCGTACGCTACATAGTAGTACACTTATTTATACATTTACATATATATGTATACTTTATCCCTTGACTGGTCTATATTTGTGTTGGGCCGTGTGCTTGCTTACTTTGCTACACTTAATTCATAACCTTAAGCTATTACGCATTGAAATTTGTGAATAAATTGTAAAAGTTTTCCTGTACCCTCTTATAGTTTTTATATGGCTTTCATTCTCATCTCTCTACATCTCGGAATTTGATTTTGTCTAAAGCAGACAAACTAACTCATTTGTCGCTTAAAATGAGAATGCGTACATTTGTATGTCTGTCTATCTATCCGTTTTTAAATGCGTGTACGTTTGTGCGTGCTTCCTCTTTAATGTTATAATTTGACTTTACCTTTTCTTTCTTATACTTTTTTTTTTTTTTTTTTTTTTTTTTTTTTTAAATTTTTTCTCTCTAATATTCTGGTGGAAACTCTTTCAGACACAAATGCTTTTACATGTGCTCGTCACACATGCACTTAAATATAATATAAGTTTACTCAAACTCTGACATCCTTTTAAGAGGCAAACAGACAAATGGCTGTGCATGCATGTTTGTAAATTTGAATCAGCAAAACACGTAGTCATGGTTATTTACTTACACGCACATATACATATTTACTTCTACATATAATTATGTATATATATATATATATACACACAGTAAAACTAGGCTTTATGACTTATGCAAGAAAGTTATGCTTAAAAACAGTTTATGCATATGCCGGATGCTTGCTAAGCATTTCAACAGAAACAAACCGGCCAACAAAGTTAAGTTGACGCAACCGTACACACATCCAGCCGCAACAGTAAGTAGTAGGTCAAATACACAAAAACATACGCAAACGCGTACACAACTAAATATGTTTTACTACACACACACACACACACACACACACACACACACACAGAAGTTTTGATTTCAATGTACACCGAAAGTGTTTAACAAAATACATCTTTATGCATATAGCGTAGAAATGTATAGGTACGTGTGTATGTATATATGTACCTAAGCTAAACAAGAATATATTTAGTAGGTCTTCACGTCTGGCATATCTAGACACTTAAGGAAATATGTAATATTTCACCTTTCAGATAAACAAACCCTTTCATATATAAATTTCACGTTTGTTATACACGATCTGTACGATTTGAGGAGCATACGTTCATATAACTTATCAAAAGTTTGTTACAATTTAACATCGAGAATGAATGAAACTTGAATAGTTGCTGAAAAATACTTATAAACACACTCTCACTTAAATAATACTTGATGTAAATATATTTTATTATACATTGTCTAAGTAACGCGTCAACAAAACACAAAAGGTTGTAAAGCTTCATGTACGAGAATTATATTTTTATATTAGTGTTTCGCTCAAGTGCAGATTATAACTTTGCTTTGGTTAGTGGTCCTCGACTTTTTCGGACTTCAGTTTTAGACTGAATTTCAGATAAGTGATTGCGTAACGAGGAAATTTCAAGTTACAACTTTTTGTCGGCCCTAATCATTTCAGGTTTCTATCTCAATTGTTGCGATCGTAAGCGTTCCTACGATAAACTGATCGATCTGGATGAGTGCAAAAACATTCTATTGCATCCTTCTTTTTCATTTACCTGTCAATGCAATGATATAAATTCCAGAACTAAAAGGGGAAATGAGCACTAGCCACTAAAACTATCGCACCGATAGTTCTTCCTGTTTTTTTCTTAACGTAGATTAGCAGCAGGTTAGCTTAGCAGCTTTAGCAAAACCAATGTTTTGTTGAGGTATCTTCAACATGTTTATCGGGTTAGATGCAACGTAAGCTAATCTTCGAATCTCAGAACGATTTTGATATTCAGATCGGGGGAATAGATTGCTTAAATATCCATTGATGTGCTGCAATCGTATGTCCAAATCAGATTCTTGCAAATGTTCTGATCATGATTTTCCCGACGTCGGTTCGATATAGTGGTGAAGCGAGGCGTGAAGATGGTAGTACTGTGAACGATTGTCATTAACTTTCTCTTCTATTTGTTTTCTTTCGATACTTTTGAAGCTAAACCATTGTGGGTTTACCATTGTGTTGTTTATAATTGAAAGTGCGGAGGCTGCGGATCCGGCCAATAGGTTTGCTCTCGCATATCCTGGCAGATCTGTTTGATTTAGTATTCAAAAAATTTTAATTTTTTCTCCGTATGTGGTAATGGTATTCCTCACTTTATTACTCGTATTCCAGATGAAATTTAAAGGGTTACGAGTGACTTTTTTAACCAATAAACTATCTGTGATGATAACCGTTATAAGTTTAGCTTTACGAGCACGGTTTATGACCTAAAGGACAGCTCTACCTTTAATTATAAATGTTGACGACTAATTTGGACTGGCCCTGTGCCGTCTACTGCATAGGCAAGAGACAGATCATCACTCTTAGAGGATGCCAACCATTACTTTCGAAAAGTTTAGTTTTCGCTGCTAACGAAGAGCAATGGAAATTATTACATTTGTATATCATTAATACTATATGTAATTTTGATTAGAATCGGTCCAATAAGAGAGGAG